TTGGGGGCCTGGGCACTGTCCTTTAGGTTTTTTTGCCCAAGGTTGGTGCTCTCCCACCTGAACCACAGCTCCACTTCTAGTTTTTGGCTGATTCATTGGAGTTAAAAGTCTCTTGGACTTTCCTGCTTGGTCTGGCTTTGAAATGAGATTTCAAATTTCAATGTCCTGAGTAGCTGGGATTACAGGCATGAGGCACTGGTGCCGGCTCTCAGATTCTGTTTCTAACATAAAAACAACTACAAGATATTTTGAGATATTCCAAGGCTTAGAGAACAGATCTGTCTGCAAGCTGCAGTAGATGAAGTATAAATAAAAGAATAAAAATGAAGGCTCCTAGAAAGTGGCAGTCATATCCTCAAGTGACCCCGTCAGGCCTGTGGACTCCTTAGATGGTTGGGGGTGCTGGCTGAGCTGGCTTTGGTGGCCTGAGCCCATTCACTGTGCTCCTTGTGCAACTTCAGGAAGTGAGTGTCCAAGCCACATCCTTTGCCCGGTGGCTCAGACATTGGGTGACCACGCTGAACAGCTACCACTCACTTCCTGGGCTTAATAACAATGGCTCAACGGCTCACTCGCCCAGAGGCTTGTGTGATGGAATGCCTTCTAGAAGGTTCTTTATTTCTCTTGAAGCCAGACTGCCGGCCACAGACAGTCATGGGTCTCATCTGTGGAGCTCATAGATCGCTCTAGCCACTTGGTTTTTCCTCTTCATTAGGAAGGAGTATCATAAAAGCATCGACTCAAACCTGTAGGTGCTGCTGTTGTCATCCCAGCTACCATGTCAACCTCAAGACAGGAAGTCACAGAGATTGTCCATCGCTAGGCTAGGATGAGGGTCCATCCTCTGCTTTCTCTTGTTTTGGTAGGAAAGCTATCAGGAGCAGGGCTAGAGAGGTGCAGGATGGAGCCACGGACCCTGGTCGCTTCAGCTGTGACGCCAGCGTGGGGCAGCCCTCGGGGACGCATCTGGAGGCTCATTCCTCCCTTGGTGGGGCTGCAGCTGTCCATCAGGAAGACTTGTCCCGCCTCAGACAATTCTTGGGTTCTCAGGGAGCAGAGTCACCTCACAGGCAGCCGCCCAAGAGCTCACGGTGCAGTCAGCAGCCCAAGATGGGTGCCACTTCCTTGCGGAGAGTCACTTCCCTTTCCAGCCAGGAAAGGAGCCTGGGCTTTACAAGAAACTGCAGTCCGGGGGTGGGAACCTGGGGCCTCAGGGGCTGAGCGTCCTGATTTACTGTGGCCTCACAGCACTCAGAATATGGAGGATGGTGAGGCGGGCTCCAGTCTAGAAGGTTCTCCAGGTCCTTTATAACTTCTCACCCATGTTATCTGGTCTTAGGGTCACTGCCGGCATGAGAACAAAGCTAAGGGAGGTTGATCTCCGCAGAATTCACCCCTACCCTAGCACCTCTGGGCACTGCCTAGAATCTTCTAGAACATCTTGTCTTCCTCCTCTTCCACTGCCTCTTTTCTCTACTGTCTCCTTACTCTACAGTATTTCTTTCCTTCTGTTAAAACTGCCCCCACCCAACCCACAGCCTTCCTCTTTTTTTTTTTTTAAATTTTTTTAAATGTGTTTGTGACTTTATTTTTTTTTTTGGGGTCCGGTCGTGGGGCCTGAACTCTGGGCCTGGGCGCTGTCCCTCAGCTCTTCAGCTCAAGGCTAGCACTCTACCACTTGAGCCACAGAGCCACTTCCGGCATTTTTCTCTTTGCTTATGTGGTGCTGAGGAATCGAACCCAGGGCCTCAAGCATGCAAGGCAAGCACTCTACCACTGAGCCACCTTCCCAGCCCCCTTCCTCTTTTTTGACTTTTCTTCCTCCTTTATCTTTCCCTTTCCCTCTTGCCAGATCTCTTGCCTTCTTTCCTCTTTCACTACTGCCTTTCTCCTCCTCTTTTCCTTTCATTTTCTTCCATTTTCCCTTTTCTCCCTCACTCCACATTGCGTGGAATTGATTTATGCTCATCGTTACAGAATCCTGACCGCAGTGAACAGCCAGGCACCATTTGTGTCCAAATATCATCTCCAGTGGCATGAAGGAGAAGGGTGAAGCTGGCTGACATCAATGCCCTGGCTCCGCATCCCTGGGCAGAGTCTTGAGTGCTCAACCAGGCGTGGGCAGGGGCTGGAGACCTGGCTGTGAGCCCCACACCTGCAGGTCTCAGCCACACTCACGTACAAGACAGAAGAATTGGATAAAGTTCTAGTCTGCGTCCTTTTCTCCCGTCTCTGACCACAAAGTCTATAAAATAGAGAGAGAAGCGAGCGACTCTGGGTGTTGGGGTGATATCCTCTTGGCCAGGGGAGCCATCACGGACAGTGGGGTATCTATCGGCTGAGTTTATGAGGCTGCCGTGGAAAGAGCAACGATGAGGTGGCTCTTTGGTTTGAACAAGATGCCCTGCGCTCCTTGAGGAGGTAGGCTAACCGAAGCTCTCGGTGCTTCATTTGGCAATGTTTCAGACCAGCTGCTTCTTTGAGGGAGTCTCATATTCTGTCATCATGAAGAGGCTCAGGTGTAAGGAATGAGTTATTCAGAAACCATGGCTAAGTTCAGGGAAGTGTGAGGTTTTCTCTTAACGTGAAAAGAGGAACTTGAGTTAAAATAAGCATCAATCAATAACTGCCAGACTTCCTCAGAAGACTCTGGCTTGCCTGAATAAGGTTGGGCCTTACACGTGCTCCCCAGTGAATGTCTGCTATCATTTATTTTAGGCGGTATATTTATATAGGAAGGTAGGTACATACTGGGGGAAACTTCCTCAGACACACCTAGGTTCATGGCTCCCTAGTCTTCAGCTACCTGGTATTTGACACCAAGGAGGACATAGGGTAGTATAAGGTCAGGAACAAATATGTCCAGAATGGCCACATCGTTTTCATGAGATTACCCACCCATAGCCCAGGGGGTAATGACCCCAGTGTTGGGTGGGCAAGTACTCTCTTCCAATGGCCACATCTCACACAGACCAGAGGTCTCTGAGTGGCCCAGGCAGAGACAGCCCTTAGAGGCTGAGCCAATCAGACTTCCTCTGGGGACTGTGGCCTGGGAAGGGGGCCTGCCAGGAGAGGAAGCCCAAAGAGCTGAGTCACAGAGGTGGCACCCAGGCCCCCAGCCGGGCTCCGGAGTGGCCTTTGCATCTCTACTCCGCAGATCTCCACCGAGTGCCCTGCCTGTTCTGTGAGTTAGTCAGAGGGAGTTTCTGCTCCTTGCAGTCCCTAAAGCCGGTGACACTTTTTGGGGGTCACAGGAAGCCACCGCAGAAAGGGTGTGAAGTCTTGAAGGGCACAGACTCCAGACAGAAAGCCTGGGGGTACAAACCCTGCACAGAAGCCACAGAGTCATGCTGTTTCCAGTCACGCTTATAGTTTTTCTTCACTTTGAAGGAATAAAAGAAACCACAAGGGGGAAAATGATCAAAGACGCTGACCAACTTTTAACTTAAGAGAGTTGCGACTCTCCTGAGAAAACCACCTGCAGATGACACCAACCCAGCCAGGAACGTTCACACAGGCCCACAACGGGACTCCATGATACAAGCCAGTGAGGCCTGCTGCCTGCCCCAAGCAGGCCCACCCCAGACCAACCAGCGACATCCTTAGCAAGCCAGGAGCTCCCATCAGAGAAAACATTCTGATAACAAACAACTGTCCTACTCGGGCGTGCTCATTCCTGTCCAGGCCAAGACCGGGGTGGCTAGCCTCAGCCTTTTAGTGGATCCTCTTTGATGTGCTGTGGGTGTGCAGGGGGGAAGGATGGAGATGCCAGGGTGATGTTCAGCTTACAGCCAACCTTGCCTCAACTTTGGCAGATCTGAGCAGCAGAATGAATACCTCCCCACGCCCCCCCCCAGAAGGCAACCCCATGACAATGAGTCTGGGTTAAGCTTTTTAGGGTTCACCCTTTGGACCAAGAGGCCATTTCTTCTCACCCTCATAAATAAGTCATCTGAAAAGACATTCCACTCAACACACTGAACCTACCTTCTCCCTCGTGTGTGTGTGTGTGTGTGTGTGTGTGTGTGTGTGTGTGTGTATGTGGGTGTGTGTGCGTGTGTGTGCGCCACAGGCCCACTTCTAGCTTTTTGGTAGTGGAGTGGAGTTTCACAGACTTTTCTACCTGTGCTGGCTTCAAACTGTGATCCTCACATCTCAGCCTCCTAGTGCTTAGGATTACAGGTATGAGCCAACAGTGCCTGGCCTAGCCTCTCTCTCTGAACACATATCTGGGGATCTTTTCTCCAGTGACCCATGTGTGCTCAGCCCCTCCAGTGCCTGTATTTACCACTTCTTCTTAAAAAAGAAATAATTCCCTTCAAGCTTTAGAAGGGGCAGCTATGCCCTGCCTCCCTCCACCCACTTCCAACTTGCTTTTCCACTAAACCCTGTGAACTTTGTCATTGTCCTTCTGTGACACCCTGTCCCTGGGGACCTGTCTGTCCTGCTGCTCTGCTCAGATGGGGGTATAAAATGGTTCCTTCACCCTCCCCAAATCGAGATGAGCACCTCCTTTCTTCTGACCTCCAAACAGTGTTCCTGGCTTCCACATCATTCAACGAGATCACACAAAGTCCCATGCTTAGGGTGGTCTTACATGGGTGCAGCTGGCTTTTCTTTTCTGAATTTGATTGCACATTTACTTTTGCCCATTTAGACCTTGTAAAAATCAGATGCCCTGAGCACCAGAGCTGGGCAAAAGAAAGCTCTTTAAGTTGAAAGGCACCATCTTGTGCTAACCCCTGGACTTCCTTTCTGCTTATCTGAGTCACTTAGGAAGAAAGGAGCTCAGCCAACCCTCCCCACACGTTTTTCTTACATCTCTGGACAGACTTTTTTGCCATTATGCCCTGAGATCCAAGGGTGCAAGTCAGGTGTGGTGGCCCAGATGCCAGGCGACTCAGGGCATATGCTTCCCTTTCTTCTTCCTCCTTTTCATTCTTTCTCTGCCAGCAGAAGCTCAAGCCAAGTTCCGACATGTAGGCTGATAAAGGACTCACCTGAACAGTGAACTTGTCATCTTCATTGGGCAGAATTCTGTAAGTGTAAACGCAGTTCCGGTACCTGAAATAGAGCAACGACTTCATTAGACCCCACTTGGGACAATCCAGTTTCCTTGTGACCGAGAGCACAAACCCCCTCTGACCCAGCTTGAGGAGTCTGTGCACAAAGTTTGTAAATGTCAGAGTCGACAGCGTGGAATCGGAGCTGAGCCCTGACATCCAACAGTCTTGGCTAGAGCTCACTGAGAGCATCAGGAAAGCCCAGCAGGGCCGTCTGGATGGAGCCAAGATTCACTTCAGAGCCTCACAGCCATGGCTTCTGATCTAAACATGTCTGCCATCTGGACTCACTTCCTCAACTGTTAGTTGCCATATTGGCCCACAGAATGGAGCCACAGGGGGTGTCAGGAGAAGAGAGATGACCCCCAGGCATGGAGAAAGGGTCTCAGGCCAGCCCCGAGGGACCACACCGGCCACGGCCAGGTACCTCAGGGCCTCCCTCCAACCGAGTGTCTCCCCTTCCTCCCCACCTCACACGTGACCTCCCCTCTTGGCCACCTTGCCTCACAGCCCCTTCTCCCCCTTCTCCCTGAGGCTGACTCAGATTGGCCCACTAGCTGGTGGGTGACCCATGAGGATGTTTTCAGCAAGGCACTCAGATTTCCTTCTCTTTCTAGAAGTTCAGTGTGTCCACAGTGAGAGGGGGAGGATGAGGTTCATTCTACTTTTCTAGAACCGGTGAGACGAGGCGTTTCTAGGTCTGAGGACCTCTTGAGAGGGACACACTGGTGGGAGGCCCCCATCCCACCCAGAGCCTGGCAGCCACAATGGCCCAAGAAGCCCCCCGCCCCCCTTCACCCCATCACACCCTCGGCTGAGCCCAGCAGGCTGGGAACAGTTTGGACCTTATTCTCTTCTTGAAGGCCACTGGCCTGTCCTCCTGCCCACAGTGAAAATCTCTCCTACTTCCTCTACTTGGGGTTCCCATGAACCTTGAAAACCCTCCTGGCCCTCAGTGCAGGGACCAGGCTTGCAGTAACGCTTCCTTCTAGAAGTTTCATTTAGCCCCTCTTGTGTGCCAGATACTTCACCAAGTGTTTACATGAACAAAAGTTGACAGATTGCACTTCAGTTGAGAAAAGATTAGAATCACCCAGAAAGATATAAAATGGAAAATAACTGTTTCCTTCCTAGTTGTGTAAGTCCTAAACTCATGTTTTTAAAATACTCCCATTTATTCAATCTTTAAACACACACACACACACACACACACACACATCTTTTTGTGGGTGTGTATGTGCTGGTACTAGGGCTTGAAATCCGGACTATGTGCTCTCATATGACTTTCTCATTCAAGGCTGGTGCTTTACCACTTGAGCCACACCTTCACTCTTTTTGGTGGTTAATTAGACATAGGTGTGTCACAGACTTTTCTGTCCAGGCTGGCTTTGAATCAGGATGATCAGATCTCTGCCTTCTGAGTAACTAGGCTTAGAGGCATGAGCTACTGGCGCCCAGCTGTGCAGATTATATATATATATATATATATATATATATATATATATATATATATATATATATATATATATATATGTAGTGGTCAGGGGGCTTGAACTCAGGGCCTGGGTGCTGTCCCTGACCTCTTTGTTGAAGTCTAGTACTCTACCATGCTGAGCCACAGCTCTACTTCCAGTTTTCTGGTGATTAGTTGGAGATAAGAGTCTCATGGATTTTCCTGCCTGGGCTGGCTCTGAACTGTGATCCTCAGATCTCAGCCTCTTAAGTAGCTAGGATTACAGGTGTGAGTCACCAGTGCCTGACATGCATATTTTAAAGTACATTTAAAGTCATATTAAATATGCTGCTCTGAAATTTTTTTTGTAATACTGAGATTTGAACTCAGTCTTTTGAGCTTTACTTTTTTCTCACTAAAAAAAAAAACAATCTTAGAGGTTATTTCACGTCCACTGAGCGAGATGGTTTATTATCATCCTCATTGTGAGGATAACATGATCATATATCTGACCAGACCGAACTGATGAAAGCTGGTTACTTTTAGCTTTTTGCTGTTAGAAATAATGGTGCATTGAACACCTCTGTTGCTTCATCCTTGTGTCCTGGGTGAATTCATAGCTTTAGCTTTCTTATCAGTAGAACGGAGAGGGCAGTAAAGCCCTTTGTGCAGACTAAGTACCGGTATGCAGGGAGAATCTTCAGAACAGAAACTGGGCTTGCTGGATACCATGTGGGCTGACACCATGAGCGTCACCAGATCACCAAGACTCAGAGAGGCCGAAAGATGCCGGCATTTGATATACCGCGAGATAATTGCAGTCGCCATTTGGGGACATTTGTCATGTGTCGCCTCTAACCGGATATGAAAGTGCCTGCTTTGCCTGCCAACTGGTTAGTATCGGCCCTTTTCATCTTTGCCCATCTAAGAAGTGGAAGAAAAAGAATCCCTTGCTTTCATTTGCTTTTCCCAATGAGAAAGGCTCATCACGAGCTCCTGCTTAGTTGCTGTTGCTTCTTTTTCTTGTAAATTCCTGCTCATGTCTTTCTCTCTGTGTGTGTCATCTTTTGCTTACTTATAAGATTGGGATCTCTGCAACATTGTGGAGTTATTGAATAGGATTTGTTAAGGTTTCTTGTCCTTGTTTTTTTTTTTTTTTTTTTTTTAGCAGTGTAGAAGTTTTACACTTTGATGTCGCTGGTTTTACCATCTTTTATTTCATGGCTTTGAATCAATGAGGGCTGAAAGGAAGGCTGGGGGAAATTCACCTCCATTTATCCCTCTACACGATGCTCCCCAGATCTACCTTCTATCCCCTGTTGGATCTCCAGAGTCAGAACAATACAACAATTGCTGTCCCAGAGACAGCAAGGAGGAATCTCTGGTCCAGACCTCTCTCCTTCCAGAGAGGTCTCTGGGAGACTGAGAACCCCCCCCGCCCCACCAAAACCCTTTACTGCACTTCGTGGCTCACAACCTCAACCCTCTTTTGGGGATACCTGGAGATGAATGTCAGAGACAAGCACCGCCCTGCTGTGGGTTTCTCTCTCTCTCTCTCTCTGTCTCTCTGTCTCTGTCTCTCTGTCTCTTTCTCTCTCTCTCTCTGAACTCCTGCACTTCCTTCCACACACCAGGGAGGGAGGAGGGGAAGGGAAGCTACTCCAGGCTTGCAGACAGGAAGAACGAGCAAGGAGTCATAGCACACACACAGAAGAGCCCCTCTAGTTAGAGCAAGTGCAGCCTGCCTGGCTTCCAGATGGATGACCAGACACATGGAAACCAACAGTCTCATTCTGCTGAGAGAGCCCAGAATCAAAAACTAGGACAAGCTGAGCGCTGGTGGCTCAAGCCTGTAATCCTAGCTACTCAGGAGGCTGAGATCTGAGGATCGTAGTTCAAAGCCAGCCCAGGCAGGACAGTCTGTGAGACAGCTTATCTCCAATTAACCATCAGCAAACCCTAAGTGGGGCTTTGGCTCAAAATGGTTAGAGCACTAGACTTGAGCAAAAGAGATCAGGGACAGTGCCCAGGCTCTGAGTTCAAGCCCCATGGCTGCCCCCACCCCCCAAAAAAGAAAAAAAGATAAAAGCTAGTACAATAGAAGACTCCCTGTAGGAAGGAAGATCTCAGCCCATGCTGATTAGCTGCTGGGCGTGAGGTGGGGAAGAGACAGAGTGCTGAACACTGGGGAATCAGTTTAGACTCCTTGCAGCACAGGACCACCACCCCTGGGACAGCAGAGGTCCGAAACTGTATTCCAAGGGTTGCTGGCCACTCTGCAGGGAACCTGCCCCTCCCCCACCAACAGCTGACCTCATCCTGGCCCACCATGCACCCACGTGTGCACACACATAGCATACAGGTATGCACAGGCGTGTACAAGAACACAGCTCATGCGCATAACATGCTTGTGGATAGCAGGAGTCACATACATACAGATAAACATGCATGCCTACATCCACGTGCATTTTCACAGAGCATGCACACACATACATGCATTTGTACGCCACGCATGCATCACAAACACAAAATTTCACAGGCAACCTGCTTAACAGGAGCTGGAGTGTAGCTCAGTAGTTGTGTGTTTCCTAGCCTGCCGGAGGCCCTGGGTTCTACTACCCTAGAACTACAAATAAATAGCACTGAAGATGTTTAAGCAAAGACTCTCTCTGCATCAGAATCATGATGGTAATTGAGACCACATGCTCCTGGCTCTTCAGGGGGGCAAAGGGGGCCACACCAGCTCTCTGGGGGTGACTGGGTCCTAATTTGCAGTGCTAGACTCTCAGTGCCTGGCCTCCACTCTGAGGCTGGGCCACATTTCGGGGTAATTGTGCCAGGGATATCCCCATGGGGTCTCTAGGTTAGAATGACAGAACCTGGTTTTGCTACCAGATGGCATTTTCCATCCTCACACAAGGGGCTTAGAGCAGAGAGCCCACCTGACTCCTTCTGTGGGTGTGGGGTGAAGGAGAGGAGGCAGAAAAGCTTCCTTTGTGGGGGGTAGACATTGCCGGTCAAGCCTGATGTAGCGCTAGACATTTTATTCTAGGATGAGAAGAGGGCAATGAGAGGAGGAGGAAGCAGGCTGCATGGTGTTGGATTTATTCTCTTAGATAAATAGCACCATTTCTGTACCACTATTCCTAGCCAGACCAAACACTCCCCACCATGTTCGGAAGTATCCTCCTCTCCCCCCCCTCAGCGCCCCACAGACAGATGGGAAATCTCACATGATAGTCCCACCACCTCCTTAGCGCTCCGGTCTCACTCTGCTTATCTGTTTACTGCTCTTAAACCTTTCGTGAACCTTGCTCTCTGTGGTTTCTGATTTCTCATGTGCACTTGGCATGTGTTTTCTCTTTGCGGTGGCTAAATGTGGCATACTTCTGGACCAGATGGGGTGTGAGATAGTCCGGATGAGGTGGGCTGGAAAGTCTGCCTTCAAAAAGCCATTAGGGCCAACAGGGAAATAAGAGAAAATAAAGACTTTCCACCACCAATGACCCCAAGCTACAGAATCTCAGTGAGAGAGGGCTACCATCCCT